AGGTCCTCTAGGGCTGGCTGTGTTCCCCCTTCTATATATTGGTCCAGGTGTCCAGCAGCCACTAACTTCTCCAGATATTGCCTCAAGGGTGTGCAATTTTCAGTGCGGTGCCCCTTCTCATCATAGAAGGTGCAACGGGACTTCTCATCATAGCCTTTTTGTGCTTCTTCCAACTTGGTTGGCAGCCGAACAAAGGGTTGATCCTGTATCTCGCTAAGAATTCGGTAGATAGGTTTGTTGAATATTGTGGTAATAGTAGTGCGAACTCTTAACTTTCTCATTTTTGGGCCCTCTCTGTTGGCTCGCCTATCTTGCGAACTCTTAACCTCCTTTTATCTGGGTCCCCTCTGTTGGCCCGCCTGCCTCGCCTATTCCTGCTTGGTTGTTCTATCGTGTTGATTTTTGCTAAAGTCTTTTTGTCTGGCATCACTGTTGTGCCAGATTTTGCTTTAGCACGGGTGCTATCTTCCTCTACCCGGATATGTTGATACACTCTCTCCATTAGGGCCTCCATCGTGAGGGGTGGCATCATTGTCATTGAGTCCCTCAATTTGTTACTGACTGGTAAACCCATTTTGTAGTGTGCGATGGCGAGATTTGTAGGGCAATCCCCAATATGGTTGAAAGTCTACCAATATCGACTGTTATAAGGCCTCAATGTCTCCTTTTCGCCCATGTCAATGGAGAGTCGCTGGTCAATTTCCACTGGTGTCTTGGTATTCATTCTGAATCTAGTCATGAACGTTTCTGCCAATTGTGCCCATGAGGCTATGTTGCCTTCTGGCAGCCTTTCGAACCAGGTTAGACCTAGGTCGCCAAGGCTGGATGAAAACAGGATACACATAAGAGCCTCTTTTCGCCGGTATGCTGCCATAACCTGGCGAAAGTGGCTTAAGTGCATGTAGGGGTCTGACTTCCCCTCATAAGTGGTGAATTTAGGCTGGTGAAAGCCCGAGGGTAGAGGTGCGTTCTCAATAGCTGGAACGAACAGCAAGCTTTATAACCTTGCTAATACTTTATCTGCTGGTTCGTAAGCAAGGCGCAGCATTGGCATTCCTACCTTGACACTCCCATGTGTCCTAGGGGCCAGCCACTGCAGGGCTAAAACTCTGCGAGGGTTGCGAGCCCTGGTGTCCTCCTTCCATCATGCCTTCTCCTCGAGCACTGCTCGCAGGTCCACTGTCCTAGGCAACTCCGTGTGCCTAGATGTCGTTTGGTGCGTGTGTGAGGGCCAATAGCTGCTTCCCTCTGTATATGATCGTTCAGTCCTCGTTCTCTCAGACCTGGAGTAACGAGTTCTAGAAGTCCTTGATTGAGTGTCGCCTGTTCTAAGGCTTCTACTTTCTGCTTGCGATGGCGTGACATGTCTGTCACGATCTTCTGAGTGGTAAGAGGGCGTGTTGCCTTTGCGTCCTTCTTCTGTCGCCACCCCTTTTTCCTTTATCTGGCGCTTCATTGTCTCCATGTCTGCCGTCATCCTCTTTATTAACTCATCTTGCTCCCTTATGCGATCCTCCAGAACTTGAGGATCCAACCTCCGCCTCTGTCTTTCTGGACTCTGTGAGCGACGGGGACTGGTGCCCCGTCTCTCCCGTGTGTCCCTCCGAGAGTTCTGTCACTGGGGTTCTAATTCTGCCATGGGTGGGATAGAAGGAAAACCTTCGCGTCTCCCACCCCCCTTCGGTGTTTGCCCGTCAATAGCAGATTGCGGTGAGTCTTCATTGTACGCCATTGATTTCAATTAGAGAGGAAAACTCGATCAAAAGGTTTTGTTCTTTGTGCAATTCCCACAGACGGCGCCAATTATACGAACATGAAATAATCTTCTCATATAATCCTGTTGATCAAGTTTGCACTCCTTCAAACGTCATTGCTTTACTACCTGAAAACACAAACGTAAGCTAGCCGACGGGTGTGTGCCGGAAACCTCTCCAATGCCTAAGTCAGCAAATAGACAATAGACACAAAAGCTCTGTATATTATAGAATAAGAATTGTGATACCTCTACATAGGTCCTTCCATGAGCTTTTATTGATTCCACCTAGCACAATCCTAATAGGACTCTAACTCCCCCAAGCAGAGTCCTCTTAGGAGTCTCAAGCTTAAGGATAATGTTTATCCTTAAAACACACTCATCACTGCAAGCCAAGTGAGATGGCTAAACCCTTCACCTCCTACCTCATCTCAGTAGCACACTAAACCGAGCTATCTTGGACCTACTCTACGCCGGACAGACTGAAGATACTATTCGACCGAGATATCGTTAAGCCCGATTTGTTACTAACATACCCCTATCTGAGCTACTGACAACACGTTGCTCATCTATTCCAAACCTTAGTCTAACACATGGTACACCACACGACCGAGCTATTGACGCTCTTAGCTCGGTCCTGAAGCATGTCCCCTTGAACCGAGGTTACTTCGTTCAACCCAGATGTTAAAACAAATGGGCCTAGCTGGGCCCAACTTTAAGTATGCAAATTACCCTCTCAGTTGGGTGTTTGTAGAATAATATGGGCATATACATTTGTGATTAATAGAATGTAATATCATGTGATAACCTATTAGTATACAAAACTTGTTCAGTATTAATGGTTAATAAATTTTTCATAAATTTTATTACAAAACTTTTACCCTAATTTTCTCAAAGAAACAAAATCTATAATATACATCACTCTTAATTATAAAGATTGTGGTCTTAATTGTAAATTATGAGGTACGTTTACTTATTAGGTTTTGTTGTGGTAAATTTTGTAATAAACTTAGTTGTGATCCAAATTGATATTCATTATGTTGGTTTTGAGTTTTTTAAAATAATTTTTTAGTTTTTTTAGTTTTTCATATTTTAGTCATTTTTCAAAAAAAAAAAAATTAGATGCACATAATATAAATGTATTTAAAAAGTAAAATATATGTGAAAAAATATTCATAAAAAAAAATCGATAAATACAAAAAATGTATTGAAGTTTTTTTAATTTTTTTTAAATTTTTTTGTATTTGTGCATTTTTAAAAAAATTGACAAATTTTGTACTTTTTAAATGTATGTATATTAAATAGATCCAAAAGTAAAAAATACATTTTTCTCCACAAAATATATAATTTATTTTTACTTATCACAAAATCCATGACATAACGAGAAAAATTTGTAACACTATCTCTAACCTTTAATCAAAATTTTATTTGATATGACTTATTTCAATACATAAACTCAAAATTTAAACTTAAATTTATGACTTTGAAAATTTTAAATAAATATTTTAGTTTTATTTAGTTTGGGTAAAAGTTTAAATAAATTTAATTTAATAAAAATTTGAGTCGAGAAGGAAAAGTATTTTGGTATAATTTTTACTAAATTTTAAATTTAATATAAAATTGAGTCAAGAATTAAAATGGCTTACTTATACTGCAGAATTTTTTTACTTTCTATCAAATCACACTTTCAACTTTGTAATTTGATCTAATTTTTATTTTAGTCCGTATTATTTCAAATTAAATAGTTTGATTTCTACACTTTAAGTCTAATTTTAATTTGGTCATTTTGTTCAAGTTAGAAGTTGAAATTAATGATTTTAAGACATTTGTCAATCTTGTAATGCTATGTTTGGATTATGCATTTAAAAATAGGATGGGAAATGAAGAAAATGATCCAAACATAGATTAAGGTGTTCACATACAAAAAATTAAAAGAAATATCAAATTGAAGATGGACTTAAAAATGTATAAATCAAATTATTCAAATTGAAACAATAGAAATTTAAAATAAATTTAAGTCAATTTATAGGAGTGAAAAGTGAAAGGTTTTACACTAAAAATATTACTTTACTCCACTCAATTATAAATCCGTACATTTTGATCATTTCAACTATAAAAATATATCACTTTCATTTCTCGCAAACCATCTCCAGGCCACTCTCAAAAAGAGTATATTTATACAATAATAATTAAATAGATTAATATGTTTGAGTTTATAAATAAATATAACTAAAAGGGTGCAAAACGTAATTTACCCTTCTTTTACTCATAAAATCCTATAAATCGGAGACTCCTAAACAAAAAAAAAAAAAAAAAAAACCACTACAAGAATTAACACTTTTGCCGACCAAAAAATTGGTCGCTAAAAGCCCATTTTTGGTCGGCAAAAGTAATCCGCGACCAATTTTTTTGGTCGCTACTTTGGTCGCCAATTGAGAGTCGGCAAAAGTAATTCGCGACCAAAATTTTGGTTGGTCGCGAATAGTCAGATTTGCCGACTAAATTTTTGGTCGCTAAATATATCATTACCGCAACTAATTCATTTAGTCGCTAAAACACTTTGGTTGCGAAAAGTGATATTTTCCTGACCAAATATCTTAGTCGCCAATTGACACATTTTGCGACCAAAAAGTTTGGTCGCCAATTATTACATTCAACGACCAAAAAGTTTGGTCGCCAATTGTGACATTCCACGACCAAAAAATTTGGTCACCAATAGTCAAGGAATCGCCAACTAACAATTTAGTCGCCAAAAGGTAAGGAATTGCCGACAATTAATTTTAGTCACAAAGGTGTAGAATTTGCCGACCAATTTTTTAGTCGCCAAATCTCTATTTTTTTATTTTTTTTAGAACATTCAATTTTTGTTTTTAAACATTCAATCCAATATCGAACAAAATTCATTCAACCCAACCACAATTAAGGAACAATAACATGTAAAAAATTAAAAATTGCTCACAGTTTCGGTACCACAATTGAGGAACAAAATTCATGACACACAACCAAAGAATTTAACTAAGAAGAAAACTTGAGAATTTAACTTGTATACAAGAGCAATAGTACGTACAATCTGTGATTTGGCAAAAACAATCACTAAAAATTCAATCTCAAACTACACTTTGCTCTCACCAAAAATTATATAAACAAAGAAATCAAAGAAAATAACAAGGTATGAGACTATTGGAATAGTTCTTCAGCTCTTCCTGTAGTATGCTCATACCACAATGACATCCTATTGCAATTTCATTCAATCTGGATGGGCATACTTGGGATTCAAGCCCAACAACTTGCAGTCTTCATCACTTATACGCTTCAGGACATTTAAAACCTGTGAAAATGTCATATAATGTTCGCTTTGTAAGTCTTGATCAGCTAGAAATTGACAAGAACAAAACATACACGCACAGAATTTGGGAGAGAGAATGCATTCTGTTAGTTACCCAAGCAACACACTTCTTCCCCCAGCACCTTACCACAAAGTAGGCTAAGAGAAATATTTTAGTAGTCAGCAGTTATGATTCTTTTATTCAGTTGCATGAAGATCCTCCTTACAAAATGCTCCACTTCATAGACATAAGAAGAAGAATAAGAAGAAAAAGGTACTGATAGAGGTCTAAGCGCATTCTTGTGACTATTAAGGAAGGGAGGCTGCAATAGATTCAAATAACCAGAAAGCATCTGATCCTTTCAAGTGGGCTCAATGTTTCATAAATCAAAACAAATTGGCTCACAGGAAGTTCACAAATTGACATCAATAAAATTTTAGCTGTCGTCTTTTGGCAATTAAGATTTGATAAAATAAAAAATAATAATAATAATAATATTAATAAAAATTAGCTATCCATTTCTGATTGGGCATTATTACTTCGTAAAAAATAGCATTAATCTGGGATTACAATTATGTTCGGAGTTGGATTCCATACCATACCCTTTACTTCTTTCCTACTCTTCTCCGAGTAAATACAAGAGCTGCACAGACAATACCCCTTATTATTAACAGAGTGCAATCATAGAACTAACTATAGGATCCGGAAGAACTTACATAGAAAGGAATATAAGTTTGTCTGCCATATAGCTCCATGAATAGCACTCTGAGCAATGAGTGTACAATACACATTGTCAGCTGCATTACTTGGAATAGCCCGAATCATGTATGTAGGATTTGTCAAAAATATTGATCAGGTCCAAATCTTGTTATTTCCCTTCGCAGCAATCTGTTTGATAATTTCTCCAAGTTCAGTTCAAGAAGAAACATAAGACAAACAAGAACGGGAAGTGAGAGGTTACTGACCTATATATTTAAGAGTAAGAACCATCTTATTTCGTTTTGCAAAATGTTCCTACAAAACAGGAAAGAACCAGTAAGCGACAGCACGAACCTGTTATATTATCACTTGGGAATGCTCATCTTATAGAAAACAAAGAGATCACAAAATATCATAAAACTAAATTCATCAATGAATTATCCATTTCCATTAGATAGCCATGTAATTTTACACTTGTGGTCATGAAGAACATCTGCATGTTTACAAACTGAGAACGTAAATTAAGAGGTATAAATTATAGTAAGATGCGAAGTTTAGGAAAAATAAAACAGGGGAATAGTTTTTTCCCCTCTCTTTTTGACTAGACAGATTCTCAGTCAAAGGATTAAAACTATAGCGATCCCGGTTGTCCCTTGACTGTTCTGTTGTATTCCGGACTCAGTTCCGTGGAGTTGAGTGTTGTATCTATCTTGTTGTCATCCTTTAATTCCGTTTGTTTGAGTTATAGGATGTGTTGGGCTTGTTTCGAACAGGTGGGTTGAACCTTAGTCTGAAATCTTGTTGCCAGATTTTTGGTCGTTCCGCTCGAGCGGGCCCTTTTGCGCTCGAGCGGATATTGCACACTCCCAAATTTTCGTGTCCCTGCAAAACTTCTGCAGGTGTGATTTTTACGCTCAAGCGGGTTTCTTTACGCTCGAGCGGTGGCGCTCGAGCGGGTACTCTGGTGCTCGAGCGGGTAGTACCTTTGGATGTAAGTTCTGGGAGGGGAAAATCTACGCTCGAGCAGATTTACTTTATTCTTGTGTCTTGGCGCTCGAGCGGACCTAGTTTTTGTTCTTGATGCTCAAGCGTTGTGTTTTTCGCTCGAGCGGGAATGTCGTATATCAGTTGGCTGTGAGGCAGTTTTAAATCACTTTTTCTCATTCTTTCTCTCTCTTACTTTTCCGAAAAAGCCATTTGAGAGCTTCTCTCTCTAGAACCTTGCCTTCTCTCTAGATATTGATCTAGTAAGAGTTGTTTCCTCACCTTTGGCCTTTACAAAAAGGTTGTTGATCGTCGAGGGCTATCTTTTGATCCGAGAAACTTGTGGTTTGGAGCAACTTCGTTTTCACCATCTTCTTTGTTGGGTGTCATCTTTTGAGGTAGGGATTCCTACTCACTCTTATGGGTTTTAACCTAGATTTTGAGCTTATTGTTTAAATGGTTAATTTTGGGACTTAGGGTTTCAAAATGGGTTAAAGAGGGTTTTGTGACTTTGGGCTCATAATATGTGTTTTGGGTTTCAAAATGATGATATAGTTGTTGGTTGGTGATATTGGGATCTTTGAATTGATATTGAGAGTTGGGGGTAAAAGCCCTAATTTGTTGTTTAAAATTAATTGGTATAATTAATTTGGAAAAATTGTAGCTATATGGAATTGAGTTGGAAATAATGAAATTGACTAATTATGTGGTTGAATAGTGGAGTTAGATTCATAAATCACTCACTTTTGAAAACATTGATATTTTATCTGTTGGAGCTTTTATTATCTGTTTAGAAATAATTGCTTGGGCTACCGGTGGAGGATAGTTTTGATTGTTGTAGACAATGCATGATGATTAGGCAAACTAAAACTAATCAATTGGTTATGTCATAGAGTATGACGGTTGATAGAATACATTAATGTTATGTATTGATTGATTGTATATATGACCATTGTGTATATACGTTGTGTGTGGGAGGAGATAGGGGATGTACTCCATGGTTTAGGGGAAGATAGGGGATAGACCTCTAAACCGGATGTCGTTTGGGAGGAGATAGGGGATGGACTCCACTGATACAGCTCATATGCTTGTCAGATAATGTGTTGATATAGCTCATATGCTTATCTTTGGAAGTGTTGATACAGCTCATATGCTTGTCATTAGAAGTGTTGATATAGCTAATATGCATATCTGTTGAAATGTGGATACAGCTTGTATGCTTATCTGTTGAGACTCATATAAGTGGTTGACCAGGTTCTGAGCCGTTGATGTAAATTGTGAAACCGATAAGAAATGGAAACTGAAGTGAAATGGAAATGGGTTATGAATTGGTTTATGAAAACTGAACATTTATCAATTGCTAATATCTTAGTCATTGCTCATACTGTGTTTAGCATATCTCTACTGGGCGTTGGCTCACCCTTTATGGGACATTATTTTCAAGTACAGGTAGTATGCCACCTCCAAGGACATAGCTTGGATGATGATGAGAGTTGAAGACTCTTTTTGTTTATTTTGATGTATTACATGTAAACTCAAGCCAAGGGCTTAATATGTATTGAGTTAGTACTCTTTTTTTTGTAACCAAGTGTTAACTTGGAAAGCAGTAAGCCCATAGGGCATTTGCTTTTGTTGTTAACATGTAATACAGTTGTAAGAATTACTCTGATGAATAGAAATGGTTGACTTCTTTTGTATCAATGCATGTCTAAAATGTTGGGTATTATGTATTATTTTGAGGGCGTTACAAAAACTAGGAAAATTAAAGATCAACAAGTAGCATCACTAGTCCAGAAGAAGAAACTAGAGACTAGAAAAAGATAATACATTAATATACTTCCAAATAGCCTCTGCATAGAAGAAGACAGTTCCAAAAGAATACGTAATGAACTTAAAAAAGTTGCTTACATTAAGCGGCCCAATAATGGTGCCTGTCCATGAACGCATGTAGATGTCATCTCCATCATCCATTCCATAACTCACAGTACCATCTCCAATACCTTTTTCTCCACGTTCAAGTTCCTCAAGCAATCTAAAGTTTCGAGGGACTGAAAAGAAACATAAATATACTATGCCTATGTTAAGGTTTAACTGGTAGTGTACCAAAGACATTTATCATGTTCAATACAACTCAATAAAATATATGTATATATATTCCTTACAATAAATTTATATATAAAATACGTAAATACTCCCCTAGATGCATCCCCAACCTTAGACTCTTCCATGTGCCCTTGCTCCCCCATCCCCACATTGAGCAGCTAAGATCCTTCTAGCACAGGGCAATAGATTGAGCAGCTATTCTCTGATAGATTAACATCCTAAAAACATCAAAATTACTTGATGACCAATAGGTTTAGTATTATGAAGTATAAAAGAGAGAGAGGATAACATAGAGTCTTCTTCTCTTCAAGTGTTTGCAAGATCTTAATTTGTAAAATTCCTCCACCTATACTTTTATGTGTCAATAGATGTTCACAGGCGCTTCAATCATCCACTGCTTTCCTCCAATCATTATTAATTAAACTGCGTATCAGATAGAAAAATAAAATCAAGCTATTAAGCCATTCCATCTAATTGGTTCTAGAGGAACTATTTAACCAAATGGATAAATAAATGAGAAAATCACATGCAAATTACCATGACTGTTGCTCAGCTAATGAAGTTACATTTGGCTCTTCAACTGATGGTTGTGTACTTTCATCTGCAACAGAATGTACAGTGAGTCCAAACTGGCGATAACCACAAGCAATGGGCTGAAAGCAAGCCAGATCAACATGTACACCACAGGGACTTAAAGTAGGATTTGCATGTGTTTCAAGCCAGTTCATTATTAAACAAAAACTTGTTCTTAAATGTCCACGGCAAACTAAACGCAACTGAGCATTTAGACCAGCCACTAATCGATACCAGATAATAGGAGGGACAAACTGCAATATGCAAAAATAACAGTCAACACCACTTTACTAGAAGCGATTGGAATGAGATTGGAATAAGAAGATGGAGTTGTTGTAGGAGGGGCTGGTGGAGGAGAGGAAGACTGAGGTGGCGGAGGGGTGGACGCTGGTGGTGAGGCAGCAGTGGGTGAAGAATTTGGAGATGGTGAAGTACTCGCCATCTAATATGTAAGAATGTGTACCAAATAAAAATCAATTGCAATATAATATCACAAAAATCTCCAAGCATTCATCACACTAACCCATTTCAATTTTTAGGCAAATCGAAATGTCTAAACAATCACCCAACCAATTTCCCAACTACCACAAGTCACTACCCAAAAACTGAGTTTTGTCGAACACCCCACTCAAAATGTAAAAATAAATCACCATCCAGACTCATTAATCAACTGCCATAGAGCAAAAAACAAAAATTTCAAGCTTTTAACCAAGTGATTAACTTGGCTCATTCCCTAGAGTAGTGCTCAATAATTAATTACAGTCTTGAGGCAAAACCAAGTAGCTCATACATCACCAAACTTCACCAAACAAACACACAATTCATCGAACACTCCACCTGCAATCACAAAACCCTTTCCAGAGCAAAACCCAGATCAATAATAACTTTGAGATCAGAACCCAGATCACCAATCGCGTCGGGAGCAAAAACACATCAACCCAGATCACTGAACGGAGTTTCTGCAAGAATCTAAATCAACAAGCACCCGAAAATTCCAAAATTCAGCAAAAATATTGAAAAGAACTCAATTCTGTGTAACACTCAAAAAGTTGAAATACAGTAACCGACATTCGAAATGCAAACAATCTAATCATCATCTAAATAATGCACATAGAAGACAACCCAAATATCAAAACTCTCTTAAAACCCTTAGCTTTACCTTTCTCTCTCTAGAATCAGCAGTTCTTTGAAAGTTCGAAGAAGCTTCTCTCTCTCCTCGAAAGCTCCCAAACACACGCGGTCACTGGGGTCCCTCCCAAATCCAAAGACCAGTGAGAGTGACCTCAAGAATAGAATTTTCCATTAAAACATGCGGAGATAAATAATATACATTTGATTTTTTGGGCTGAACAACAGTATAAAACTGGAATCAATCCATCATAATCAATCCATCATGTTCTAGCAAAGCCCACAAAACCCTTCATTCTCAACAATAATCAATCAAGAAATTGACCAAAAATGGAATCAATTCATCAGAGCTCAAATCCCTCTCTCCGTACTAAAATTCACCGCATTATATTTATATATATATAGAGAGAGAGAGAGAGAGAGACCGAGGGCAAAGGCTAGAGAGGGAGACAGCAAGAAACAGAGAGAGAGACAGACAGACAGACGGAGAGTGAGAGAGAACCTGTGAGGATGCGGCAGTGGCACTAGCAGTGGTGGTGGCGCTAGCAATGGTGTGTGACGCTGGTCTGCAATGAGGTGAGATTGGGTAAGGATCCCCCAGAAATGAGGAGTCCATTAGACAGAGGGCGATGGCGATTTGCAGCGGTGCCGACGTGCGACCGACGTGAGCAATCGTGGTGAGGGACTTCGGTGAGCTAGAGAGAGTGGGCACTGATTGAGAGAGAGAACAGAAAATGAGGGAGGGGCGGGCCAACATAGAGAGACACAGATTAGGGAAAATATTTTTTTTCTAAAATTAAATTCCTGCCTCACGTTTCAAATTTCCCCCCAAACTTTTGGCGACCAAAAGACCAAATTAGTCGCAGAAAAGGTTCCTTTGCCGACAAACTTTTTTAGACGCCAAATCTCAATCAACGGCGACTAAAATATTAGTTGCTAAAAGTACTAATTTGGCGACTAATTTTTTTTGGTTGCTAAAAATAAGTTTTTCGGTACCAAATTTTTGGTCGCTAAAAAATATGTGACCTTCCGTGACCAAATTTGTAGTTGTTCGGCAAAAGTATACCACTTTCTGCGACCAACTCATTTTTTGGTCGCCAAAATATAACCTTATGTGACCAATAATATTTGGTCGCCAAAAATAATGATCATTCACGACTAATTAACATTTGGTCGCCATATGTCATTTTTTTGCGACCAAAATTTTTTTGGTTAGCAAAAGTGGTCGGCAAATGTGTAAATTCTTGTAGTGAACCCTAGCCTCATACACAGGGAGACAAGGGTGAAGGAAAAGCAAATTGTCGCTGCAAAGTAGAGCAGAAGTCATCAAAGATCCGAAGCATTTTCAGGTTATTTACAATCACCAAACCACTTCTATTCTCTTTGTCGAACGATCTCAACAGTAAAAAAAATCCCCAGGTTTAGAACTATTGGGTTATGGTTCTACAGGAAAAAACAAAACCCAGTTTTTTTTTTTTTAAAGTATTTATTTATTTGGTATCATTTTATAGATTGAGGTCCTTTACCGCATGGGGGAATCAAAAGTTTTGCCAGAAATGGATTTTATACATATATATATATATATATAATCATAAAAATAAAATTAGTCCATGGCTTTACCAATGGAGGGATTACTGATGCTTTTCTGCTCCTTATAAGTTAGAAAGTTAATTTCATATAAAAATGTGCTTCATGTCAGGTATACAGAAAAAAGCATAATTTAGAGATTGATGAAACATTTTTTTGTATGTTGGTATGTTCGTCTTAATTCTTCTAGATATTTACCAATGTGTTTTTACTCTTTCTAAGTTATAAAGATAATTTCATATAAAAATACTTTTCATGGAAACAAGTAGAGCTGAGATGAATATCCAACAAAAACATAATTTATAGAGGTTGATGAAACATTTTTTTGCATGTTGGTGTGTTTGTTTTAATTCTTGATTTGTAATTAGTTGCCTGATAGATTGATGTAACTTGGGGTTCCTGTATATACACAGAGACTAAAGCAACTTGGTCACCTGGCTAAGCCATTCTTCATCACATTGCTTATCATTTCAAAGGATTGGGACTCAATAGGGACGAGAAACATGTCCCCTCAATCTCCGGGTAATTTTTCTATTTCATTGTCATTGTTGGACATGTTTTTCTTCTTATGGATGTACACTCTTTGCTTTGGTTTATCTTGGTCTAGATTAAGGTTCACTATTTTTTTTGGTTCTGAATTGTAAATAGTTTCCAACACTTAAAAACAATAGTAAATGCTTTTATAATTGTTTTTTTCATTTGGAATAATATAGGTTTACTTAGAAGTTGAAAGTTTTGATGGCATGAGTGGAGTCGGAAAAAAGAAACTAAGGTATCCTTTGCATCTCATTATGTTGTGTGTGTTTTACTTATTCACTTGTTTTTTACTTTATTTTATTTTTATTTTGTGTTTATTTTTTGTTTTAATTTTTCAATCAACAGCTTATGTACTCTTGTAATAATTTTTCATATTTTACTTGGTAAGTAAATTATTACAGCAAAATCATAAGAATATACATAAGAGATTTAACTAAAAACTACAATCATCCGTCGGAAATCGCCTTGTTTATTGCCTGGGAAATACTCTATTTTACTTATTTGAGAATTCCTATTTTTCATGCAACCAAACCAAGACAAAAACAAACAAAACCTTTCCAAGAGATGCATATGTATAAAAAGCTATCAAATGAAAAATATAACAAGTATGAGAATTGAAGCTAGGAAACACCGAACCAAACAAATAGATAGAAATCTACATTCATCTCTTTGTAAATAAAAGTAAATTAATACTCAAATATATGCTATTAATTAGAGAGAGTAGATTGCCATCATTTCAAAAGGAAAGTCTTACCAAGCTTGTGAAAGCTCTATAGTGTAGCTGGTTTTTCGCGCTCCTTGAAGGGGTTTAGTCTCCTCGGATGCGATTCCCTACAGTTCGAACTCCCATGATTCTAAATCTGGCTTCGCAAGTGCAATGTAAAACAGAAAAACGAATAAGAGTCTAAATTCGACAAATCTTAGAAAAATCCATTAATCAGCAGAGATGGCAAAAATGGACTGCTTTGCTAGATTTCAGAGTCGCCACCTAATATTTTTGGGAGAATTAGGAAACTCGTGACTCGTGCCAAAGGTCGCTTGTCCGTCATAGCCAAAGTTGTCTCGGTTCTAGAACATAGGTATAAGAGGGGAAGGTCATGAATTGAGTACCCCACTCACCCGATCAAAGATCGCCTCTGCTAAATCATGATGTGAATCTTATAGACATTATATGTTCATGTTCTGATTTATTAATAATGCTAACATTACTATGTGAAGAAAACAAGTATAGACTACGTTACTTCCTTTGGAATGCTTTGATCTTTATACAATTTTAAAAGAGTTTTGAATATGTACAATTCAATGGAAAAATGATCTCATATGTACAACAATCCAAATCATTCCAACTTAAGCAAAATAGCCTCCATCCACAGGCATTTATAGAGTTATTTCAAGTAAGCAAATAGCCTCATGGTAATATGCTCAACATGGTAACACAAACACACACATATGATATGCTAAAGCCAAAAAAATGCTCAACTAGTATTCATCCTCGGCAAGCCAAAGAAAAGATGATTAGAAAAAATGCATGATCCCAAAAATGCACATGACTAATGCAACACAAACAAAATACAACTACTAAATTCGGCTATTAACATGACATGTGACTCAGGGCTTCTTTCTGCAATGTTCTGATCTCAGGGCTTCTTTCTGCAATGTCCCTTGTCTTCGTCTTCGTCCCAAATTGGCTCCATTGGCTTCACTACAGGATTTGGCTCGTTTTCTTTGTCATTGTTGTGGGTCTAGTGACATGGGACTTGATTTTTCATCATCTCAGCCAATGGCTTTACAAAAAAATTACAACCACAATGCTCAATTTGTTTACAAGCTTGGAGGGACTAGGACTGGAATTGGATCAGGAACTGGGACATATAGAGGTGTAGTATTCTCGATTGATCATCATAATGATATTAATACCACTCAAGAAATGCATTGTGAGTTTTCATGTTTATCTTCATGTACTCGTTTCTCTTACCTTGTTGGCTAGTGATATATGCATTAGAGTGACTTTAATATGGTGTGAGCATAATTTTCAGTAAGTCTTGAATTTAAATTTTGTTTTTTCTCTGATTGTAGATTTTTTTGTGTTTGTCTACACTGACATTCAATTGATTTTTAATTAGAATTCTATCTGAATTAAGTAGTAACTGTGATTATAGTTGTTGCACAAATTCAAACATGGAACATAGGACAGATGAGTGTTTCTCAGTAAAGAGCAATGAGAGCGAACACCATTGTCTCAGAGTTATATATGGCCATCTTGTCCTCTGTTCTATATTACTACTAGAGTAAGAATTTAATTTTAAAATAATTTAATAAGAATAGGACAATGCACCAGTAAATTCCAAATCTTCATCTTGTGATCTAGTTGGTCCTATTTTATATCTTATAAACTAATAGGTCCCAGTCCAATGTAAATGACCAACTTATGTGTGTGACCCTGCGTGTGGCAGCTTATAGTAAGGGTAGATATGGGTTTCTGCAATGTTGAATTTACTTATATGCCCAAAAACGTTAATGTAATGTTTTGTTGCTTTCCATCCAAACCCATTTGAATTGAAGAGTCATATATGGAAAGGACTAGAATTTCTGATGTTTATGGCGTAATGTTGGCAAGATTTTGGTTCATTGGTAAGTTGTAACAAGGATTCATTGTGGATTGGTATTATGAAGCACCATTTTTTTTTGGCATCGTAAACCCTAGAAAATACGGATCCCCTATTCTAGTAATACGTTTACATCGAGGAGTTGGTGAGGCTGTGCAACTGTTGTGTTGTCGTACGCCGGTCGGAAAACCCTCCATTCGTTGACGACGGTGATTGTGTTTGTTACAAACAGCGGCAGGTACGTTGTTTCCGGTTGATGTTTAGTAGTAGTTTGGTGTTTGTGATATCTTATTAACAATATTATAGCCTAAAATTTGTGTCGCGTTGTTAGCCTGCGTCAATGGTATGGGTGGGTTTTGTGAACTGCATGATTGGTACATGTTTCAATGTGGATGATTGTCCATTTGAATGTGTGAACCACTGAGAATGTTTTTGTTGTTTCTGGTTGATGACTTAGAGTAGTTTGATGTGTGTGATACGTTATTAACAGATTGTTGTATTGAGATTTGTGTCGCGTTGTTAGTCTGCATGAATGGTGTTTGAAAGGTGTGGGTTTAGTGTAAAATGAGGTGTGTGAGGTATGTCCAATTGTAATGTGTAGGTTGCAAATGTGTTGGGGTGGTTGGTGCATGGCATAGTTGGTGGGCTGGGAGATTTTTGCTATGTTGTTTTGTTGTTTGAAGCTATCATGTGTATGTAATTAGTTGCAGGAGGGGGTGTTTGGCTAATTTATGTTACTGTAATGGTAGCGATGTGTGGGTTTGTAGGGGATAGTGTGTGGGTGGATAGTAGTTGGGATAATTATATAACAGTTTGGACAATTAAGCATGGTGATTTCGGTGTTGACGTGAAGGTATACGGTGGTGATAGGGTCAAAGAAATGTAG